GAAATTGAAAGCATTCTTTGAAGTAGGCTAGAAACCAGCTAAAGCTACTTGCACACAAGACTCAATTCTTTGTAAAAATCAGTAATTGGGCTGGGTGGGGGCGGCTGGGAAGTGGATGGCTTCTGTTAGGGTGTAGAATTACTCTGTTCTGAATCGTGGTTAAGCTCTCTTAGGGCTGTTCAGCGTTGTCATTAAAGGCCATTATGCCGGTGATTTTCCCTTGTGTCTCAAACATCTTCATTTGTCTGGCACTATAATAGAAGGCTTCTAGTTCAGAAAATTTGACCAAAAGATTTGAAATTTAAATAAGTGGTATTGATTACTGCAGAGGAGTTTTTAAACTCAAAACAAAAATGTCAGGTTCTGGACCTCGAACATGAACAAGATGACTGAAGAATTTGGTTTATAGAATATTTTAAAGTTCACTTTAGTTTTTGTTGTTGTTTTTACAAAATAGAGATGTTCCATGGCTACTTCTACCGACTCATTAAGTTTTTACCATCTAGAAAGGCTACAATTTATCTTATAAAGACTTTCAGTTATTTCAAAAGAAAAATTATAAAGAGTACACATAATGTTGCATTCAATAATTATGAAATACTTTAAATGTATGTTTTAGTTTCATGTCATGGGAAATATTATAGTAACAGTCAAGCTTAGTTTTTAAAAAATATTTTTTTAACCTAATTGCTTTCGAAATAATCCCATTAATAGGCTTTTCTATTGTGTGAAATATTCATTCCTTAATTGTTTAACCTGTTTAATTTCCTAAGAAAATGTTTTATATAGAGATAATATTTTGGAAAATGTTTAAACTTTTATTTTTGGCTCCATAACATTCTTTTATCTCTAGGTATAAAGAGGAATTCTTTTCACATTTTAGTAGTGCACATATGGAAATATTATCTACCTATTATTTTGTGCAAAAAAGATATAACTTATATCCACCATTGCTATCAGTTATATATGTCAAAAAAATTCCTGTAACACTTTTCTTAAATCACATATTACTGAATGGAACCAATATTTTTTAATAAAAGTAGATGTATGCAAAAAGTTAAACTTTTATTTGCTAGCTCAGTAACACTAGCACATAATACCTCTCAGAATACAAACGAGGGACTTGTTAAGAATTTGTTAAATAAAACTTTAAAACAGTCCTACTTATATTGTGGAGAGGGACAGAATGAGAGATGGTGACAGATTGATAATAGTGAAAATAGGAAAAGAAGGGAAGAAAATAAAGAATAAAAAGAAAAGATGGAAGAGAAGTGAAAGGAAAAGAGAAGGACCATCACCTATCTATTCACTGGTTCATTCATTTTCCAAATACATATTTTTTGCTCAGTGTATTGGACCTCTGGCATTTTAAGCAGAGAATTAAACAAGTCCTTAATGCTCCTCTGATGAATACTACTGCCTTCCCCTTCACTGAACTGAAAGAAAAGAGGATGAGACAAAGCTGAACTGGAATAGAGAGAAAGAATGGACAAAGAAATATGAGCAGAAAATATAAAAGTTGGATGCCTAAGGACAAGAGAGATGGAAGGTTAACTTCTACTTATTCTTTTTCATGGTATAGAACTACATCCATCTCCCCTTCTCCACACCTACAGGATACCTTTGATTTGTTTCTGGCATCTTCTCATACCCTATTTGCATAATGACTCTCTGGGCTTGCTGAGGTCTACACCCAAGCAACCATCTATTGGAAAAAAATGTTTTTTAGTGTCTTCCATGTGCCAGGCACTGTGCTAGGCAGGGAGATACAGTGGTGAATGAAACTCTATCACTGCCCTCTGAGTATTTTATGATCTAGTTGTGTCAAGTAAATGGATAAATGATTCAGTGCCATAAATGCTGCTAAGGAGATAAGTAAAAGTCAGCTAAGTCTTGAGATCAATAAGAGTTTCCTGAAGTAAGAGAGAGCCAAGTTGATATTTCCCCTTGTTAGCTTGTCCTTTTTAAAAATTCCATCAGAATGCCTATTTTGGAAAAAACCTTTCAGTTTCTTTATGGTTCAGAAAAAATTTTTAAGTTTGGTTTGATTCAAAAGTTAGTAAATTAGATTTGTTTGACCTGGCTTTTCATTGGTGAATTATTTTAGGTAAAGTCCTGATTACATTTAAAATAGATGTTCTAATTTATATTTCCTTTAAAAGATTCATACCCATTTAAAGATATTAATAAAGTTTCAAAAACAAAGCACAGGATCTTTTGTCCTGTATTTTTAACATCCATCTTATGCATAAATATGTATAGGCAGTACACTGTTACAGCTTAATATGAAACAGATGCCCTTAAAGCAATTTAATGAGTGTGTGTCTAAAGTATGTATATGTACACCAATTTATTTCCTGACTAAAACTGCAGTTTTATCAGACTTTTAGAGGAAAAATGCCAAATCACGATAGGTTGCACTAGATTTCATCTAAGAGCTCTTTGGAACAGTGAAAGAGACTAAAAGGACTGAATGCTTTTTCATACTTTATGTTCTTTCACGTAAAGCTGATTTAGAGAAATTCCTATCACTGCTTTTTCCTTTGCAGAAACTTTAAAACAACAAACTAGATCCATTTATAGTTGCTGGTTCATCTCAAGTCTGTAGTGGCCTTTTCTAGATCCATTTATAGTTGCTGGTTCATCTCAAGTCTGTAGTGGCCTTTTCTAGATCCATTTATAGTTGCTGGTTCATCTCAAGTCTGTAGTGGCCTTTTCTAGATCCATTTATAGTTGCTGGTTCATCTCAAGTCTGTAGTGGCCTTTTCTGTCTTCTTCTTGATGGGCTTTGTTCTCTTTTGTCCTGAGTGTCTATGTCCAGCCCTAACTGCTCCCCTGAACTCCAACTGCTCATTCTTAGTCTTGGCTTGATGTCTACTAGGTCACTTCAAGTTTAGCATCTCTAAAACAAAGCCACCGGAACTCCTCCCACCTCCAGTAACCAAACCTGGCTCCTTTCACAGTCTTCTTCACAGATGTGGCGATGGCAGTCTTGTCCAGGTCCCATACTTGAACATCATCCTTGGCTCTTTTCATCTCCATAAGCAATCCCCATTTCTACAGCTACCCACCTCCATGCCACCATCATCCCTTGCCTGGGCTATTGGCTTGGTCTCCTAAATATTACCCCTATTTCCAGTTGTGAGTTTCAATAGCCATTCACTACAGAACAGCCGGGGTGATCCTTTCAAAACAGAAATCAGATCCAGTCACTCCTTGGTCAGAATAAACACAGTGGCTTTCTGTCTCATTTACAGTAATATCCAGGCATGGCTATAAGTCCCTATATGATCTAGCTACCTCTCTGATCTCATATCTCACCCCTCTTCTTCTTACCTACTCTGCTTTTTCCATATCAGCCTTGCTGTTTTTTTTGTACCCAAGAGTATTCCCACCTCAGGGCCTTTGAACTTGCTTTGACATGAACCACCATCACCTAGATACATACATGTTCATTTCCAGAGCTCCTTCAGATTTCTGCTTAATTGTCCTAAAGAACTTTCCTGAACACCTTTTTCTGCCCTTCTACTTTATTTCTTTCTTAACATTTATCCACATGTGTAATTTTTATATCAAATATTTATGTCTTCCCTGCTAGTACTGAAGCTCCATGAAGGCAGGAATTTTTATTTTTTTCTTTCTTGTTTTATCCCTAATACCTAACAGGCAGGATTTATGGCCAGGCTCTAGATTTTTAAGTCCCCTGCTCTTTCTGTGGTTGTGTATGCCCTTCCATAGGTTTTAAGTTCCCCAAGTGCAGTGATTGCATCTTTTCCTTTGCCCCATCCCCTTATAGGATATAGGACTGTACTGTACACTCAGTGTGGGGTTCCAAGTGCCAAGTCATGTGCCGTACATAGCCTGATTGAATTACTCCCTGTGCTCATATGGTTGGTCATCAGCTTGGATCGTAGACTTACTCAGGATGTACTTCACCCTTTGTAGGAATAAAAGACAAGTTGCTGTTATTCCCCAGATACACAGTGGCATTTAGAAACTATAGGCAGTTTGTTTGCATGAAAAATCTAACATGGTGAGAATCTGGTCCTCAATAAATAGATTATTTGTATTCTGAATTTTGAATACTTGATGGAGAGGATTAGATTGTGCTGGTTTAAGCCTGAGGGTTTTGTGATGGTGGTGGTGGTGGTAGTTTTTTATGTTGATATTTGATGTTGATATTTCTGCATTTAACCACCCTAAGTTCTTTTTTTAATGTATACAAATTATATATATATATGTGTGTGTGTGTGTGTGTGTGTGTGTGTGTCTGTGTGTATATTTAAAGAACAGGATCATACTCTACATTGTTGTTCAGTCACTAAGTTATGTCCAGCTCTTTGTGACCCCATGGGCTGCAGCACACCAGGCTTCCCTGTCTTTCACTATCTCCCAGAGTTTCCTCAAACTTAGGTCCAATAAATTGGTAATGCTATCCAACAATCTTATCCTCTGTCACCCCTTCTCCTGCCCTCATTCTTTCCCAGCATCAGGGTCTTTTTCAGTGAGCCAGCTGTTTGAGTCAGGTGGCCAAAGTACTAGAGCTTCAGCTTCAGCATCAGTCCTTCCAATGACTATTTAGAGTTGATTTCCTTTAGGATTGACTGGCTTGATCTCCTTGCTGTCCAAAGGCCTCTCAAGAGTCTTCTCCAGCACCACAATTCAAAAGCATCAATTCTTCAGTGCTCAGCCTTCTTTATACACTGTATACTATTTAGATTTTCATGCATCTTATCATGACCTACTTATTGTGTCACCATGATATTGACAGAAAAATATAGTTTTTAAAGATTATCCATATGTCATCAGTTCTCAAACTTAAGGAAAGTATGTCCCAGACATGTTCTTTTACAAATGGAAGAGTATCCATGTTTGGCTTGAGTCTTTCCAAAGCAACTACTAAAAGGCTCTTGTATTTTATTCTGACAATTTTTGTTCTTTTGCCTATGAGGTTTCTTAGGTGACAGGTAATCCTGACTGTTTCCCTCTTGTTTTTACAGGTGATCTGCAACTCTTTCACCATCTGTAATGCAGAGATGCAGGAAGTTGGTGTTGGACTATATCCTAGGTAGGGTGGATGCTATTTCATTTACTGGAAGGAGCCACTTTAATTCCCACCCAGCTCCCCAACCTTTTAAAAGTAGTTAGAAAGGCTATTACATGCAGCTGGTTTGAGAGCCAAGCTTGAAACTTAATGATAAATTACAAGAAAAATGGAAAATTTGAAGTTTAAAGAAAACAGTTTTATAACCCCACATTATATTCTATGCTATTAATGGAGAGGCAGACCTCAGATGTAAATTCTTATTGGGAATTGTATTGAGGACTACCCTGTGGCCAGTGGTTAAAGCTGTGTGCTTTCAGCGCAAAGGGTGTAGGTTTGATCACTGGTCAGGGAACTAGGATCCCACATGCTACAGGGCATGACCAAAAAGAAAAAAAACCCCACCAACATTTAAAAAATAGTTAGGGGTTATGGGTGCTAGTAAACCACCCTGCCCTGATCTTAATCCCTAGCCTTCTGGGCCGATCATATGATTATTACACCAGACTTGCTGTAATGCACCAGTTGGGTCCATTTTGTCTTTTGGCTCAGCCTACTCTCAACCCCAATGCTCCATGAGGTGGAACCCTCTTAGGCTCTGGTCTCCCGAAGAGCTCTCTCCAGCTCTCACCAAGGTGATCTGTATAGCTGAGCTGCTAGATTCTCCTTCGACGAGCACTCTGAGTTTCATTTTGTTTTCAGGCTATTAGTGTCCAAATACAAAGAGGGTCTTTCTTATAATTAACTGTGAATCTGAGAAGTCAGCTTCTTATTTCTCATGTGTTATAAACCACAGATCTATGGTATGGATCAATAAATGACACTCATAAGATTATTGTGATGATGAAATTTGATCAACAAGCTCGTGTGCTAAGAAGGGGTTTTCTACATAGTGAATGCCCACTTAGAGTTATTTCTCATTATTATCAAATGTGGTGGCAGCTTAAATACATTCCCTTCCCCAAAAGAAAAAGGTATTCCTCCAAGGTAACGAAATGACTTGGCCATGGCCTGGAATGCATGAGGGTCTTGGTAGTGAGATAATCTCAACATTCTGTTGAAGAGGAAGTACTTCTAATTATTCTGTGACATGGTTGCATGTGTTTTAGTGAAGTTGGCAGTTCCGCTGAAGGAGTTCAACAAATGCGATCCCGAGTGGGAAACTCAGGGGTATTTTGGCTGCTTCCTATTTACCTCAGAAGTAAATAAGGTATCCCTTTACCGCAGAAATTTTTCCTTTGCAAAGCAGTTTGTTTTCCCTCATCTTCATGTTGGGTCACCTTAGCAGCTGGTACCTAATGAGACAGCCCCCTCCCCATACCCATCCCCTAAAGTTTATTAACAAACTTCCGTAATGAGCTTTCACCCAGGGAGCCTTTCACTTCGTGGGAAATAGGCTGGTGCCCCCAGAGGACTCAATTCCTGGTACACTGTCAACCCCACCTGTCCCCCTGCCCCTAAAGTTAAGTGTCTTTTGCCATTATAGTTGTTAAATTTAGAGGTTTGCTTCTGTCTACAGAGCCACAGTGTTCTCCTTTTTTTTCTTTTCTCCAGTATGTCTTTGCTGAATCACAGCTGTGACCCCAACTGCTCGATTGTGTTCAACGGGCCCCACCTTTTGCTGCGTGCAGTCCGAGGCGTTGAAGCTGGGGAGGAGGTGAGGAGCCCCTGTTTCCCACTGGCCGGCCTCTTTGTTCGTTACAACCAGTTGTGCCCGAAGGGCAGCTTTTCATTGTCTTTCTGCTGAAGAAAATGTATATATTACCTCTACCCACATACATGTGTTAATATACGATATTTGCTTTTCTCTTTCTGACTCACTTCAGTCTATGACATTCTCTCGGTCCATCCATGTCTCTATAAATGACCCCATTTCATTCCTTTACATGGCTGAATAATATTCATTGTATGTAAATATCAAATCCCCTTTATCCATTCATCCATTGGTGCACTATGGGGACCTGCATGGGAAGAAATTCCGAAAGGAATCAGCTATACTGGTGTACATACATACCTACATACATACATACGTACGTGTGTACATACGTACACACATGTATACATACGTGTACCTACAGCTGATTCATTTTGCTGTACAGAAGAATCTGACACAACATTGTAAAGCAACCATGTGCTGTGCTGTGCTGTGCTTAGTCGCTCAGTCGTGTCTGACTCTTTGCAACCCCATGGCCTGTAGCCGATCAGGCTCCTCTGTCTATGGGGATTCTCCAGGCAAGAATACTGCAGTGGATTGCCATGCCCTCCTCCAGAGGATCCTCCCGACCCAGGGCTTGAACCTAGGTCTCCTACATTGCAGGCAGATTCTTTACTATTTGAGCCACCAGGGAAGCAACTATACTCCAATAAAAAATTTAACTAAAAAAAAAAACCTCTATCCAGACTAATTTAACCATCATTGCTTCCAGATATAGGTGGGCTAACTTTTTTTTTTAAATCATCATCTTCTGGATGATGGAAAGTCCCTACTATATGTGTGTGGGAGAGATGTGTGTGTGTGTGTGTGTGATATTGTGTGTGTTTTGTGCATATGACAGTTCATTGGCCTCTTGCATCTCTGCAAGTGGTCATCCTTCTGTAGTCAGAGAGGTCAGCCCAAGCTTGTGAAAGATCTCAAGGGTTTACTTACTCCCAAGGCCATTAATTGCATTTCAAGGGTGGTTTATTTTTAACCTTTGTGTTAAGAAAGCAAACAGGTTTTATTCTCTCAGGTTGTCACTGGGCCTTGACAAACCTATCAGCGTCAGCTTCTCAGAGTAACTGTCCAGGCAAAGATGTGAAGGCAATAGAGGACAGAAAGTATGACCTCCAGCACTGAACTGGCCTTGACCTTTCCAGTTCTGCAGGCTGCCCAGCCATCCTCTTTTGATGAGGACCCTTCTCAGAAGTCCAAAGGCTCACAAGACAGCTGGGGATGGGCTACTCCAGCACTGCTGAACCTGAGCCTGGGTTTACACAGTTCCTACCCTGAATTCTGGGTTATAGATATTTATGCTTTTCAGAACCCAGTTTCCCTCTACCTCCAATTTGCTAAAGTGGATATTTATTGCAAGGAAAACAGACTATCATAAGCTTTTATTGCATTTATGCAGCACTCAGCCAATAAAACCTAAACTCAGAGGTACCATATTTTATGTAGACAGGGATTTGGCTTTGATAAGACTGCCTCCAAACTGAGTTGCAACTGAATAAGCTGTCTCTTATCAGCCACTTAATTGAATTTCCAGTGTTTAGGATCGGTGTAGTAGGTACATGGGGATATCTGTCAACAATATGTGGAATTTAGATTTTTTTCCCTTGGACCATATGTGACTTCAAGCCAGGGAAGAAGGGGACTGCTATCCATTTTCAGCAACATTAGTTTGGGAGCTGAGCGATGACTGCCTTTTGATAATGTTGTTGTTGTTTTATTAAATTTAAAAAAAAATAGGTAACTTGACAAGCAAATAGGAAAACTATGAGAAACAGTTGGAGTTCTCAGAAAACAACAAAGAAATTTCTTCATATCTTGTTTTCTAGGCTTGGCTACCAATTATTCTCCTTGGTTAGTTTTCATTTAGTTGAAAAACAGCATCTTTTAGTGCTTATTTCATGTCCTTCACTTTCCATCTCTGGAGAAACAAGCAAATCCTTCCTCTTGCCTGACACAGAGTAGTTCTGCTCAGCATCTGCCCAGTAGACTCAGATATTTTTCCCTATGGTCCTTATCCAAATGGCTTCTCAACAGAGAGAATTGTCCCCATAAGTCCTTTTAATACCAATTTGTTCAGAAAATAAATGTCTCCCTACCATTATACACTTTCTCTGCCCAGTGGCTCTGTCTTCCCAAGGCATTTCTTACCTGTCTTAATGTTATTTACTCCTCAAATATCATCTCTTCTGTAAAGCGTTTCCTGATTTCTCAAATTATAAGATTTTTTTTTCTCTGAGACCTTAGGTCTCAGACCTTAATATTTCTTTGGCATTTATTCTGGCTCTTTTAGCGACTTCTCCATTCAGCGACGAGCTTCATGAGGACGGGCAGTTGTGTCTTACTGTGTCTCCTTTGGCCTTCCCCGGGGGCTGGGTAGTAAAGAATTCCCCTACCAATGCAGGGTTTGATCCTTGGCTTTGAGACATGGGTTTAATCTGTGGGTTGGGAAGATCCCCTAGAGTAGGAAATGGCAACCCACTCCAGTATTCTTGTCTGGAGAATCCCATGGACAGAGTACCTGGTAGGCTACAGTCCACAGTGTCAAAGAATTGGACACCACTGAGTGACTGAGCATGCATGCTCATACACATGCACATGACTCCTTTAGTATCCACTGGATCATGGAAAAAGCAAGAGAGTTCCAGAGAAACGTCTACTTCTGCTTTACTGACTACAGCAAAGCATTTGACTCTGTGGATCACAACAAACTAGAAAATTCTTCAAGAGATGGGAATACCAGACCACCTTACCTGCCTCCTGAGAAATCTGTATGCAGGTCAAGAAGCAACAGTTAGAACCGGACATGGAACAATGGACTGGTTCCAAATTGGGAAAGGAGTATGTCAAGACTGTATACTGTCACCCTACTATTTAATTTATATGCAGAATACATCATGCAAAATGCTGGGTTTGATGAAGCACAAGCTGGAATCAATATTGCCAGGAGAAATATCAATAACCTCAGATATGCAGATGACACCACCCTTATGGTAGAAAGTGAAGCAGAACTGAGGAGCCTCTTGATGAAAGTGAAAGAAAGTTGGCTTAAAATTCAGCATTCTAAAAACTAAGATCATGGCGTCCGGTCCCATCACTTCATGGCAATTAGATGGGGAAACAGTGGAAACAGTGACAGACTTTTTCCTGGGTTCCAAAATCACTGCAGATGATGACTGCAGCCATGAAATTAAAAGACACTTGCTCTGTGGAAGAAGAGCTGTGACCAACCTAGATAGCATATTAAAAAACAGAGACATTACTTTGCTGACAAAGGTCCATCTGGTCAAAGCTAAGGTTTTTGCAGTAGTCATGTATGGATGTGAGAGTTGTACTATAAAGAAAACTGAGTGCTGAAGAATTGATGCTTTGAACTTTGGTGCTGGAGAAGACTCTGGAGAGTCCCTTGGACTGCAAGGAGATCCAACCAGTCACTCCTAAAGGAAATTGACCCTGAATACTCATTGGAAGGACTGATGCTGAATCTGAAGCTCCAATACTTTGGCCACCTGATTCGAAGAACTGACTCACTGGAAAAGACCCTGATGCTGGGAAAGATTGAAGGCAGGAGGAGAAGGGAATGACAGAGGATGAGATGGTTGGATGGCATCACTGACTCAATGGGCATGGGTTTGAGCAAGCTCCAGGAGTTGATGATGGACAGGGAAGCCTGGTGTGCTGCAGTCCATGAGGTCACAAAGAGTCAGACACGACTGAGTGACTAAACTGACTGAACTGAACTGAGAGTTAGCAGAATTTGAAAAGTGGCTACAAGGTTGTGACAAAGAGCAGAGACTTGATTCGCATTCAAGTTTGATTTTAAAGAGAGGGAGGATTTTTCTTTTTCTTTTTAAAAGATTTTATTTATTTTTATCGAAGCATAATTGCTTTACAGAAAAGGAAATGGCAACCCCCTCCAGTATTCTTGCCTGTGAAATCCCATGGACAGAGGAGCCTGGTGGGCTACAGTCCATGGGGTCACAAAGAGTCGAACATGACTGAGCATACACACACACAGAATTGCTTTACAATTTTGTGTTAGTTTCTTCTGTACAACAACGCAAATCATCCATACGTGTATATGTGTGTGTGTGTGTATCTACACCTTCCCTCTTGAGCCTCCCTCTTAACCATCCTCTATCCTACCCTCTAGGTCATCACTGAGCTGAGCTTCCCACTAGCTATTTTATACATGGTAGTATATATATGTCAATCCTACTCTAAGAGAGGAAGGATTTTTCAAAGTCTATTTTCAATTCAGAGCCAGTATTAGAAAAATTTATAATTGTGACAGTATAATTTGAGAAATGAAAACAGAGTATAATTTTAATTTGATCTTATTATCCACTCAGAAATACATAATGAGAAGATGGGCTTCATGTAAAAGGGATTCATTTTGCCTTGAAATTTTCAAGTAAGCAACAAATTCAATATCCAGCAAATATCTTTCATGGTATCACTCTAATGTTGGAAATGATATACTGCATTTTCCATAAGAGCTGCACTAAAATGGCAAAGCTATGGTCAGTAGCATTAATATTTTAATGTGATCTTGTTCTTTGCCATTAAAACATCCACTGATCAATGGCAAAGTTTCAGATATATGTTCCCACTAAATGAGCCCTACATTGAGTGAGCAGATTCTCAGTTAAAACTGGTGAGTCTTTGATAAAGGTTTTTAGCTCTGGTTGATAAAATGATTTAGCTGTCATCACTAGTTAGTAATTTGGATTTTTTTTTCCAAAAAAATTATGGATAAAAATGTTTTCACTGTTGAGACCTTCAGTTTTGATAGTGTATTTTGCAAACTTCACTGGCATGAAAGAGGCCCAAGGAGAAGAATGGGGCATTCTTTGTTGGAGGAGTAATATTTGAGCCATTCCTGAAGGAGGAGAGTTCTGAATAGGCTGAGAATGGGTGAAAGGGCATTCATTGGCTGGTGAAGGTCAACACCATATACATTGCATGGTGTACATTGTTTCAACATAATTGTGTTGGATATACGTAATTATGGGAGATGGTAGTGGGCAGGGTAAAGAATCCACCTGCAATGCAGAAGACTCAGGTTCTAAACCTGGGTTGGGAAGATCCCCTGGAGAAGGAAATGGCAACCCACTCCAGTATTCTTGCCTAGGAAGTTCCATGGACAGAGGAACCTGGTGAGCTACAGTCCATGGGATTGCAGGAGTCAGACATGACTGAGCAACTAAACCACCAAAGGGTGCAGGGGGAGAGTTTGAGGCTAGAAAGGCAGACAGAAAATCAGCTTGGGAAGCCTTGTATACCCTCATCCTATATTCAGGGAGGAACTGTCAGAACTTTGTGTAGACAAATGATGTGATCAAATGTGAGCTTTAGGAAGATCTCCCTTAAAGCAATTTAGAAGATGTACTGTAGGCTAAAGGCAGCAGGGAGGCAGCTGGAAGATCATTACACAGTCCAGTTAATGGTTCCAGGCAGTTACAGGATACTGAGAAGGAGTCTCTTTATTGGGATTAAATGAAATAACTAGCCTCCTGCTGCCCATTCTCTGGCTGGCATGATCACTCATGAGTTTTGGCCCTTGTAATAAACTCAGGTTTGTCAAGCATATTTCTCTGGTGAGTCAGGCCCTGGATTTGTTGGTTTCACTCTGGGCTCATTGTAATCACCCAATAACTACTACTGGTTAATCCTGATATTTGGGGCTGATGACTAAGAGTCATTGGGCTGGATGGAGAACTAGAGTTGTAGGGACTTTTCTGGTGATCCAGTGGCTAAGAACCTGCCTGCCAGTGCAGAGGACATGGGTTCAGTCCCTGGTCTGGAAAGATCCTACATGCCACGGACACCTAAGCCCGTGTGCCACAACCACTGAGGCTACACGCTCTGGTGCCAGCATGACCCAGCTAGAGGGTCTGTGTGCTGCAGCGGAAGACCCCACATGATGCAACTCCTACTCCCCATCCTCTTCCCCCACCCAGCACCCCACCAGAGGCATGAGCCACGTTACTGTAAAAAGAGTGTCAGCCTGAATCAGTAGATGTGGGTGCAGTTCCCAGATGGATCTAAGACCTAGGCTGGTTTTCACTGGTGAGTGCCCAGCACGTTGTAATGTCAGTAATGTCAGTGTACATTCCTTAAGGACAGACACTCTCGTTTTCTGCATGTGGAGCAGCATGTTATAGCCACCTCACATGGGAAGGCTTTAGAGAGGGCCAGCCAGCTGAGGCTGTAGCTGCTGTCACCCTGGTGATAGCCAGGGTGGACTTGACTTTCTTCCCCACTGACCGCTTTGACAAGGCCTCCCAAAGCCATGTTTTCTGTCAGAGTATGGCCTCCCCTGCCCTACCATGCTGTCAGACAAGAAAGATTAGGCTTTGTAGACGTGAGATGCTTTCTTTTAAGTCTCAGAAAGCCACATGGCGTGTTCTGCTCTAGGGAGTGTTTGTCATCTCCCTCAGTGGATAATCCTGCCTCCTTCCTCTCCTTTACTACCCGCTTCTTCCCCCACTACACAGCACCTCCCCCCTTAGTTACTTCTATAGATAAAAGCAAATAAAGAACTAATCTATGCAGTATGTGACTAGCTGATCTGGTACAGAAAAAGGAAAACTAAAGGAGGATGAGGAAATTAGGACTACTTGGGTGAGGTAGGAGTCAAGTTGTTATTTTAAATAAGGTTGTAAGGGGACTTCCCTTGTGATCCGGTGGCTGAGACTCTGAGCTCCCAGTGCAGGGGGCCCTGGGTCAGGGAACTAGATCTCACATGCCACAGCTAAAGATCCTGCATGCTGCAACTAAAGACCTGGAGTAGCCAGATCAATAGGGTAGTAAGGTTAGATGTCAGTGAGAAAGTCAGTTTTGATGGAAACTCAAAGGAGCTGAGGGAGGTCACCATAGTAGATCTTGGGGAAGGGCAGAGGAAGCACCCATGCACAGGCCTTGAAGCCGGTGTGTGTGTGAAACCCCGGTGAGGCTGGGCTGCCTGAAGCAGCCAGGAGGAGAGAGGAGATGGGAACAGACCTTTTGTGAAGCCGTTGCTGCTTCCACTACCTGTGATGAAGGATCAGTTTCTTTATTATTTTTTTTCCTTAATCCATTGTCAGCTACTAGTTTTATAAGATTTAATGAAAACGAATTACTAGAAAATTGAACTTAAAATAAGAGCCTAATGTTTTATTATTTGAGCCACATAAAATTTCTCTTACCAGATTGATGTCAAAATTTCTAAATGTTTGCTTTGCATTTCTTTACTCACTTCAGCATAGACCAATAACCCACGCTGCAGAACCACACTTTGAGTCGTGTTATGAGAATCCATTGTAAGGACTTGGCTTTTGCTCTAAGCTAAAGGAGGAGCCGTTGGAGCATTTAGAAGAGAGGAAAGATCTGATCCAACTGACATTTTAAGTGAATTACTCTGGTTTAGAGAATGGAGTGCAGGCAACTCAGGAGAGGAGCAGGGATGCTGATGAGACTTGCATTTTACAGGCAAGAGATAATGATGGCTCAGACCAGGATGGAACAGGAGGGAAAGGTAGAACGTGGTTGGTTCTGGATGTATTTCTATGGTTGAGCCCACAGAGTTTCCTAGTGAATTGAGTGGGGAAAGTGAACGGAAGGGAAGTCAGGGATGACCCCAAGGTCTCCACTTGGATAACACGAAAGATGAATTAATGTCAACTGAGACTGGGAATGTTCCAGCTGTGAGGGAAAGGTTGGGGAAATCTGGAGTTCCATTTTGTATGTTTTGAATTAGACTTCCAGTAGATAGATCTAAGAAATGTTTAAACATCTTGATGTTACATAAAGACCTGTGTCTTGAAGTGAAAACTTAGGGCTAGAGAGGAACCTGGAAAGTCCCTGAAGTGTGCCCTCTCACCTGTGGTCTTTCACTGTCCAGTGCAAGGCATGTTGTTATTCACTCGCTAAGTCGTGTCCAACTCTCTGCAACCCCATAGACGACAGCATGCCAGGCTTCCCCATCCTTCACTACCTCCTGGAGTTTGCTCAAATTCATGTCTATTGCGTTAGTGATGCTATCTAACCATTTCCTCTGTTGCCCTGTTCTCCTCCTGCCTTCAGTCTTTCCCAGCATCAGGGTCTTTTCCAGCGTGTCAACTCTGCATCAGGTGGCCAAAGTGTTGGAGCTTCAACTTCAGCATCAGTCCTTCCAATGAGTATTCAGGGTTGATTTCCTTTAGAACTGACTGGTTTGATCTCCTTGCTGTGCGGGGGACTCTCAAGAGTCTTCTCCAGCACCACAATTTGAAAGTGTCAGTTCTTGGCACTCAGCCATCTTTATGGGCCAACTCTCACACCTGTACATAACTACTGGAAAAACCATAGCTTTCACTGTTTGAAAGTAATGTCTTTGTTTTTTAATACACTATCTGGGTTTGTCATAGCTTTCCTTTCAAGGAGCGAGTGTTTCTTAATTTCATGGCTGCAGTCACTATCCTCAGTGATTTTGGAGCCCAAGAAAATAAAATCTGTCACTGGTTTCACTTTTCCTTCTTCTATCTGCCATAAAGTGATGGAACCAGATGCCATAATCTTAGCTTTTTAAATGTTGATGAAGGTGAAAGAGGAGAGTGAAAAATCTGGCTTAAAATTCAAGGCAGGACATAGTTATTATATTTAAAAGGGTCCAAGGAAGTCAAGTTAGGTACCTTCATCAGTGATCACATCCTGGCATTAAGTTCTCCCTATTTGGAAAGTGTTCCATCTTTTTAAATCCTCACAAGTGAAAGAACTGTCTGCTCATTTCCAACAGTCCAAATCTGGTTGAACCTAAGTTCCATGAAGCAGCTATAGAACTGAGTAGGATTTAGGAGCAATCTGGCTACATAATCTGCCATCCATTTGATTGCCAGGATTAATATGGCTTCTCTGATTGCCAGTGGTTACAGAAAGTATTACCAAAATGTACGAATACCAAACATATAACAGCTCTTGATATTTTCTGTTTAGTGAATAAAATGTGCAAAGGTGCATAGAGTTGATGAGCCCAATTCTTTAAAATATTAAGTATATGATATATCTAACAAAGACTGGAAGGTAATGCCTTAAAATTTTTTACTCGTGATTATTTGGGTGGAGAGACTGTAAGAAGTATCTCCTCACACTTTCTGGTGTGTAACTAAAGCATGTTTTACTTTAACAATTTGAAGTAATAGCCGGTTGTTAAAGAAGGCGGGCGCGGCAGCCATGTGACGCCTCCCTCTCGCCTCCCTCTCTCTGGCCTCGCAGCTCACCATCTGCTACTTGGATATGCTGATGACCAGCGAGGAGCGCAGGAAGCAGCTGAGGGACCAGTATTGCTTTGACTGTGACTGTTTCCGATGTCAGACCCAGGACAAGGTATGTGGTATGGAGCCAGCTTGAAACACCACCCAGGCAATATCCCCATGATTTTGCAGAGAACTCTGCTCTTATCTCCCATTGACCCAAAAGTAAATGACTCTCAGTGAATAATAGGAAACAAAGGTAAATAAAACAATACATTGTGCTGCATATGTTTTATTTCCTGGAACTCTTATCAACCACCAGGCAACAAGAGGTTTAATGTCAGGTAAGGATCTATGGAGTCTAGAGGGAATGTGGGTGTAAAACATGTAATTAAAAAGATGTTGGAGGCCAGAGTGCTATTAGAGCCTATAGCAAGAGGGCTAATTACGTTATGAGTGGTAACAGCTATTGCTCAGTAGTAAATACACCAAGTTTTATTGAGTTTTTATTTCTTTAAAATTCCTCCCATAACCCTTTCTGCTGCAATACTTTATCAGATGGAGATTCCTTATCTAGGAACTTTTACTTTCTGAGAAATGAAAAGTCAAAATAAATGCCATAAAGATTATAAATGAACTTTTCTCATATTACTCATATACCTTCCTTACACTGAGCCTATTTATTCTTAGTTTGCACACAATTAGGTTGTCTAATGAACTCTTACTTTTGTAGAGTGTTTTACATTTGTTGGACTTCTTTTGTAATTATTATCTCATTTGAACGTAAGACTCATAATTAGGAAACAGAACTCAGAAAGGTTCAGAGATATGCCTCTGGGACAGGATGAAGGAAAAGTGGTAGTACCAAATCTCAAACACTGATCTTTTGATAAACCTAGTGTTCCTTCTACTATATGACAACTACCTGTGGCTTCTGGTGCCCACGTCAGTGAAGAAAGGTAGTTGCTTTCACTCCATGAGAAAGGAGCGAAAGCTCATTCTAAAGATGCAGAAGTCAATGATCATGGTTAGTTTTTCATTAAAAATAGCTTATAGAGCGAGAGGTTCAAGAGGCGGGGGCATATGTATACCTATGGCTGATTCATGTTTTGGTATGGCAGAAACCAATAAACGTTGTAAGACAATTATCCTCCAAATAAAAGAAAAAGCTAATGGTAAGTTTGCTAATAGGATGTGCCTTCTGAATCAAACACCATCTTGAATTAATGAAAATACACATTGATTTGATTAATTTGATCAATCTGGTACTTTAATTTACCATAACCATGCCCATCACATAGTTTAAAAAAAACATTAATTATAGAAAAAACATAGATTATAGAAATAAGTGAATTGAATGGAAAAAGTTGGATCCATTGCTAATAGCTCCCCAAGATTCAGTCTACTTAGGTGTTTACATTTTGCCATTCACAAACATTCCAGGAATCACAGATCCCCTAGAATTCCTCCTTAGAGTTTAACCTGGAATGGCTGGGAGCAAGCTATCTTCCCATCAGCATACTTGGTTGGGGATGGGAAGGCTGTTGGATTTAATGCCTCTTACCTGCCATTTTGGAGAAGGGCATGGCAACTCACTCCAGTATTCTTTCCTGGAAAATCCTATGGACTGAGGATCCTGGTGGGCTACAGTCCATAGCATCTCAAGGAGTCGGACATGACCTAATGACTGTGCATGCAAGTGTACATGCCATCTATGTGGCAGACCCTCAGTTGTTTTTTTTTTTTTTTGAGTGATTACTTGATTAAAACTCAGGTCAGGTTCACTTTTGGCTTATTGTTATAGTTGAAATCTGGGCTGAAATAATAGGAACGGGTTTAGCTACAAATAACATAACCCAAAGAAAACTGGCTGTAGTAAGTGTAATATGTTTTTCTCAATAATTCTAGAGAAGCAGCCCAACGTGAGAGCAGCTCCTGGTAGGTCTCATCACAGACCCAGAATCCTTCTGTCTTCCTCCTTAGACAGCCCTAGTGTATGCTTTTGTCTTCATGGCCCCAGGATGACTGCTGCCCCCAAGCCCCAGTCATTGCATCCAAGCTCTAGACAGGGAAAATAAGGGGTGATAAAAGACAAAGAACGAAGAGAAATGCACCTGGGAATTTCCACCTGTATCTTATGGGTCAGAGCTGTGTCACATACTATTGCAGCTGTGAAAGGAAAGGAAACAGAATTTTGGCTTTTCAGCCTTTAATCCAGAAGAAGACAAGGAAGAAGTTGTGAATAGCTTTTTGGTAGCTGATCTGTAGTGTCTCTCATATCCATTAAGACCCTTTTCTTTACTCCTTTGAGTTCAAAGTTTGAGATAATATTAGGATTGTCCAGAGAAAGAGAATGAGCAGGGTGTATATGTGTGTTTGTGTGTGCACATGCATGCACACATGTAAAGAGACAGATAGGTTTGTTGGTTGATTATAAGGATTTGGCTCATGTGATTGTGGGGACTGACAGGTCCCAAGATCTGCAGTTGGCAGGCAGGAGACCCAGGGTTGCTGATGGTATAAGTTACAGTCTGAAAGTTGGTAGGCTCAGTGATGCAAGAAAGCCAGTATTTTAGTTTGAGTCCAAAGGGAAGAAGAAAGTGAAATCACACCTAGAAGGTAGTCAGGGAGAAGGAGATCACTCTTACTAGTGGTGGGGTCAGCCTTTGTGTGCTATTCAAGGCTTCAACTGATTAAGTGTGGCCCTCCCACACTGGGGAGAACAATCTGCTTTAATAAGCCAATTTATCCACATGTTAATCTCATCCAAAAACACTGTCATGGGCACACCCAGAATAACGTCTGACTAAATATCTGGGTACCCTATGACCCAGTCAAGTTGACATATAACTTGAACCATTACAAATACTGTGTTAGAGGTAGGCCAAGCCATATCATCAAAAAAGTACTGGAGGCCAGGAGTGGCAGCGTCTGGCTTTGGGAAGGCTGTTGGTGCAGGAGCCCCCAGGCATCTGGCATGCACCCACCCCACCACTATCATGATACTCAAGGGGAAGGGTCAGCTCCACCAGAGGGGTGGAGAATGGGGAGCCCAAGAGATGGGCAAGGTTGTCAGCTAAGCCTGTTCCTGCAAATGTCCTGTGGACATGAGGCCACAGAGGCAGCAGGAAAGGATACTCTGCAGACCAAAAAGTGCACACAAAAGGAAAAAAAGGAGCAAAGGGAAAACTGGCCAAAGTGCCTAAGCAAGAAACTGAAGAAGATTTACCTGTAGAGAGTGGGGAAACTAAGAATGAAGCAAGTCTAGCCTCTGATAAAACAGGAGAGAAAAAAGCCATCTGATTAATATCACCTGCTACGTCATATCAGTGGCCCCTGTCTCCCTTCTTGCATGACCCAGAGGAATATTTTTATCTAATATTTTGTAAATACAAGACTTTCAGAAACTCTGGAGACATTTTTAAGAAGAGAATTTCACTTCCTTCCCTTTTTATGTGTAAAGGGTTTTTTTAAAAAACAAATTATTTTTTGGAGCATAATTACATTGTTTCTGCTGTACAATAAAGTGAATCAGCTATATATATATATATATATATATATATATATATATACACATATCCCCCACTTTGGAGCCTCCCTCCCACCTCCCCCTCCATTACACCCCTCTAGGTCATCACAGAGCACCGAGCAGACCTCTGTGTGCTATACACCAGCTTCCCACTAGTTATCTAACACATGATAATGTATATATCTCAGTCCTGCTCTTCCAGTTTGTCCCTCCCTCCCCTTTTTTAAGAGGTAAAATCATTTTCTGTTTTTTTAGTTTTTAGTACAACCAGAAAATAGTGGGATATTGAATAAGGAGGTTTGATTGTCTTGAATGTCCGCTTAACATACCATAGATGGGGATTATTTTTTATATCTTAAAATACAAAGCATATTAAATGGCAGTTTGAAGTCACATTGTATATTTACTGTGAACATTTGAACTTCCATTCCTGTGTTGTTTTCAGTAGAATCATTTCCTAAAGAAAATCCTTTGACCATCCCTGACAGAATTGCATGCTAACATCTTTGGTCATGGTAGTGCAGTTTTCATAGTAACTTTGGTAATGTACTGTGAAAGAAAACTGAAAATTTGAATATATAGTGTATATAATATTAAGTTGTGAATTAGTGAAATTTATAATGTAATAACAATATTTGAAGATATTGGCACTTAATATCCTATTAAGAAAAATTTGCCTTCAATTTTTAAGCTGGAAAGTCACCAGAATAACTGTTTAGGAAAGAATCACAGTGACATGATTTTTCAGATTTTAAGAATTATGTGCAAATTGAAATATCTGTGTACTGATCCTCAAAATAGCCTAGAAGATCTCTATTATTTAAAAAAAAAAAATGCTCGATTTCTTTTTCCAGTCCATTGTGTATCTATCTTGGGCAAGGTATTCTTCCTCTCTGGTTTTTTACGTCATCTGTTATACAAGGGAGTTGTATTAAGACTTGATCATCTTAAGGCACCTTCTGGCTCTATTATCCCTTATTTTTATGAAATGTTTCCTAGTGGAAGTGAGTAGGATATATATTTAGATGAGAATATAAACTTGATTTCAATTAGTTCATCAGTTATATTTTCAAGTTTCTATTTGAGAATTTTCTTCTGTTTAGTGATATAAACATCCCTTCTGAATTCGCTATACTGTTTGTTTGATTTTAAAAATACAGAGATAAATTCAGCTTAGTGGATCCCCAAAAGAGCATACATTCAAAATTAGTTCAGTCAAAAATTATATTTACTTCAGTTCCTAGATTTAAAGTTTTCAAGCTTATTTTTCTGCTTTTCTTGGAACCTAGAAAATTCATCTCAACAGGTTTCTGCATCAAATAATATTTATTATGTGCCTACATCTGCATGTTACTGGGCTTGCCTGGTGTCGTGTTTCAGGAAGGCAAGAGGCCTTATAATAGCAGGGGTAATTTGCATTTGTGGACTTAGCTGTCATTTGTAATCAACAACAACTTAATTTCTGGAAGAAATAAAACTTACCTTCTAGAGGAGGTTTTGGAATGATTTGGCTTGTGCAGGTCAAAATCCAAGGCAATAGAAACAGAACAGACTAAATGGAATTGATTGTTTCCATAAGCGTGTGGATAGTACATAGTATGCTT